GTAATCTGGACACTTGGCTGGTGGGACTCATATAGAAACCAGAAAAGTGTTAAATTCAACACCTGTGGTGTAAAATGTACACTGGCAAATTTGCTGTGTAGGCAGCAACCATTCAGATAGGAGTAAATATTTTGTTATGTTATGTTAATATGTTCTCATAATATGTTATTTTTTAAACATTCCTTCAATACCCTCCCTGCTAACCACACCCTACTGAACTGATAATTAATAAAGCTAATATAATCAATGCACAGCAAACACAGAAATGTTAAACCTACAAAAACTATACAAGAATGCTAAATTGCTTACTGCAACATTACATTGGACATTTATATTACATTTATACTTTATTATATTATTATACATTTCCTCACTCCATTAATGCTGAAAAAACTGACATCTTATTTTAAGTTTTCCTATTGGTACATGCAAAACATCATTTGCAAATGTGGTTTGAAAAAACAGATGCATTTAAACCTGTCCAGTTTGTCTGGAATGCATCACATCCTATAACCCCTCCTGAAGTGGTTTCAGCGATCAGATTTATATTTACATGAGAAATTTATTTATATACTTATATTTTGGTGTGTGCTCCATTTCAGATGGGCTTTGCAAAGTATAATCCCAATTCACTCTCTTTGTGTTATTGTTTTCAAACTAAAACCTTTTGTTGCCAATTTGAGTTTATGTTGTCTTGGGCTTTAGAATGCATCTGCCTATACAGCACACCGAGACTACTTGCTAGGTTTTAAAACACAGCATGTGAGTGTGTGTTTCTCTAGTCATGCAGATCATTTGTAAATCTGTAAGCACAGTCACAGCTGAGAGGATGTTAACGTTGGTTTACAGGCATCCTCCATTTGACCTTTCTTAAGGCAAGACCTCTGTGATGGATTGCTTCTGAAACCTTTGACCTCTGTAATATAATGTCTGCCATAGGCATCTGTCTGAGGCTATTTGGTGGTATAGATTCATTACGTTCTTCACTGGGTGGTGCTGTGTGACAGAGCTTATGGAACGACTTTTGCTTGTAGGCTTTTGCTTGTAGGCTTTACAAGTTCACAAAACTTTCTTCTGCATAGTCAGGCACCGTAAACGTTTATGACACTTATAATCAATTATAATGGGCTGATATGGAGAACAAAGTGTATACGTCGTCTATTTCATTGCACTTTTTTTGAAATATTAAACATCAATTAATGTACACAGCTTATTTCAGCCAATTCTAGATGGAGGTTTATGACTGTTGTCTGAAATTCTCCACGGTTTACATTGTCCTGGTGGAGAGTGGTGCCTATAGGTTTACTATGGCCCATGGCAACTTTGTCTAATGTGAGTTTCTGAATGGGAGACTTTTACGAGGAATTTCAGTGAATGATTTAAAGTGTTCCTTTCAGTGCTGACAGTAATATTTAGCCATCATTAAATCCTCATAAAAAGCAGCCGAATGCCAGCGGGCCAGATGGTGTCTGTTATTTTATGAATATCTTTTACAATACCTTAGACAAGGAGGTTGTGGAGCCAAGGGAGGGCGAGCGAAAGGATGAGAGGAAGTGAGAGATTGCACTTGTTTTTTTTTTCAAATTCCTCCCACTGTGTTTTGTACTTAAGTAACAGCAGACTGGCAACTATTGCCACCTGCTGCAGTATGTTTGCGCAGTATTTTTTCAGCTCAAGGCTTCTGCTGGTTCTCTTCTGGTCTCAAGGAGTGTTTATTTTTTGGCTTGAATCTAGTTTGGCTTTGTGTTCTCAAGCCACTTTGTCTGATTGGACAGCCTTTGACTGGCTTTACACAAGCTGGCTGCAAGAGTCTGTCCACATATCCATCACTAGCGCGAAAGCACTGGCCCAAAATCTGCTCCACTCACTTAATTCATTAAAGTAGCAAATTAGGCCATTTTCTAATCACCAGCAGGCTTCCTGGAAATGCTTCTGTACAATTGCTCATAGCTGTTGCTCTTCTGTTCTTCCTGCTGAGGATACAGAGGACAACCTTTATAGTCTGGTGCAGTGAGCATGAAACATACTAAAGTAATGAACAAACACTTTTTCTTGACTTTGTACTGCTTTAAATGCTGTTTGTGCTAAAATTATGGTTTATTACTGGATTAGTTGTGTTTGCAGTGATTATGCTTTCTTTTGAATTGTACTCTTTGCTTTTCTCTGCAGTGGGTTCTGTACTTTTAAGCCTGATGCAACAGGGCTTTAAAACCCATGGAAACAGATTGCTTCAATATTGGAAGGAGTTAAGAGTTAATCATATTTGATTTGGTAATGCTTGATATCTTGATATGGGGACTTATGTGCTTTAGTTGATCAGAAACTTACCGAGTTTACACAAAAATGTGTGGCATTGCATTTAATCTTGATTTCTCACAATTTATGTGAATTTTGTGATAAAGTCAAAGCGCAAAGCGGCACTAATAGAGATTCATGAATGCATATTTGTGCATAAAGACTATTAAGTAAAATATTTTAATTATTTTTTTCACCAAAACCTTATTTAATACACAGAAAAAGACTTTTATTAGAATTTATAATCTATGTCCCACTGTGGCTTATTGCCTTCTTAAAACAGCTGGTCTCAATTCATTGCCTTTATATGGGCAAGCATATTATTTTAATAAATAATTATAATAAATTATTTTAGAAATAATTTTTTAAAGGCCAAAAAAGTAAAAATTAGGACAACAGTTTAATTAGTAAATTACTTAAAGAAGCTGTATGTAAGTTTTTGACTTCTGAATCATAAAAATACAATAATATGTTTGCATATATTTAGGAAACATGATCATTGAACACTCTTGTTTAGCTGAAAAACAATCCTAAAGTCAGATATTCTGCTTTGAAAATGTGCTTTCCCTGCTGGTCTTTGTTTTGGTCATTTAACCTGCCCAATAGCCAATTGTATTTCAGCACCCCAGGTTGCCTTGGTGAAAAAACAGCGTATTTCATTCATTCAGTCAAGAAGGCCATCAAGGTATGCATATAACTGCAACCTCCGGCAGACAGAAGCAGCCTCTGAAATGAGACGCAGATTCAGTACCACATGTGGTGGTTATTAATTAGCAAGTAAGATAAATATTATGAATGTAAACAATAGGTGATCAGGTTAAATTGTAACCCTGTGTCATAACAACACCCTACTTGATGAGATTTGCAGTAATCAACAATTTGGCTGTTTGCACCAGACAAAACACGTCAAAAAATTAAATGCAGTCATTCAGAAGCACCGCACTGCACTGCACTCCAGTGAAATGGTTGTTTATAGTCTAATTAAAACATATTAAACCTCTTTAACATTATTAAATGTAGATGCTTAATCACTGATATTGGCTTCCT